GCTGGGTTGCCTTTCACCTAATTTGAGATGCAATACTGCCATCGTGTGGCAAGTAAAAGAAGCTGTAGGTTTTCCAATATAAGAGAGAAAGTGAAGATTCCTTTTAGAGGGTTTCCAGGAACTAGCCAATAGCAATATCTATAAACTATAGTACATATAAGCATTCTAAACTAGCCAGAATATACAGCTGATCATTTCTCCAGATAACAAAAAGCACAAAACTTCAAAAGATCAAAAAGCTGAATTTCAAATAATATTTATAAGAATGCTCCAATATAAACTTTGGTAACCTAAAAACCACATTTCAATGTTAGGGTTATATTCCTGAAATAAATTATTTCAGTGAGAGAACTTATAAAATTTTATACCTCAACAGTCATCATTTCTATGATATGTTATATAAAGAGTACAGGAATAAAAGTTTTTAGAGAAGATTATGCCTGGTAAAAGTCAGTGAGTCCAAGCTTTTGAAAAGCAGGAAAATAAATATTAGTTTAAATAAGCATAATATTGACAAATAAGATTTTTCATTCTGCTACGGTGCCTAGCATGTCACCCTAGATACTGCAAATGCTCAATAAATTATTTAGGGGGAAAATACCAACATGACTTGCATGGCCAATAATTAAACAACAGACAACTGACCCAAAATTGCTGAGAAATTGAAAATGCTCACTAATTTCACTAATATACCAAGAAATGTAACTTCAAACAACACAGCACAATTTTTCACCTATCAGATGGCAAAAAAATACTTTGAATTTATAATACCCAGAAAGTGATAAGGATATGAACAAATGGCTGTCATATATTGGTGGTGGGAATATAAAATGGTACAAGCCTTTTTTGGAGGGTAATCTGTCAGTATCTATCCACATTTTAAATGTGCATACCCTTTGACTTAACAAATCCACTTCTAGGAATCCATTCTATAGAAATACTAACACATGGATGCAGAGTTAAAAGTATAAAGATATGCACTGCAACTTTTTTATAATAGTAAAAATCAGAAACAACTTAAATGTCCATTAATACTGGAATGGATGAACCACAACACACTCAAACTATGAAATAATATGCAACCCCCAAAATGAGGTGAAATTCTATGACTCAAATGGCAAGAAATGAAGTGGTATTTTATATTGCTAAATGCAAGAAAAAAGTTACAGAACCACAGGTATATCTCATTAAACAAAAAATAAAACAAAAAAGACAAAAACTATATATGTGTAGAAAAATGTCTAGAGGACTCCAGAATGGTATACATCAAACTTCTATTTCCTGGGGATGAAAGGAGCTTTCATGTTTAATTTCTTAAGCATCACTCTGCAACTGTTTTTCACATGAACATTAATAATTAAAAAAAACCTAGGGAAAAAAACATCAAAAACTGTTCCTAATGGTGATCTATTTCTTCTGGTATAGCATATCTTAGAGCAGTTAAAATATTTTAGGACAATAAATAACTTTAATAACCTTTTCCCTTAAAGAATTAAAATTGTACTCATGGACTCAATAAAAAACAATATAGCTGTAATTGCCACCAAGATCTGAAATATTTACTCCTATTAGTATAAAAGCACATACTGAGTCTTTAAGATTATAAAACATTAGCTAATTTAAAAAAAAAAAAAAGGCTACAATCCTCAGGAAAAACCACAGCTAACAATAGAAAAACTGAAATTCATTTTATTGTGAGACCCTAAAAACTCTAGTATCTTTAATCTCCTAATCCTGTATAACAGTGATTATAAGAAATTGGGGAGGGTGGTGGTATTGGGCACTTAAGGTCTTTCCATTTAATCTTTGGAATGAGGGCTTTCTCAAACCACACAGCCACCCTCCACTCTCCCATTCCTACATTTGAAAAGTATGATAGCAGAAAAAATATTGAAAGCCATTACACATATAGGGAATACTAATGATAATTTTAGACAATGATGTATATGCACAACATTCAAGTTTGCTTTTAGTAGAAAAATATCAATACAGTAAACAGTCTCAAGAGAGGACCTGCCTTTCAATTTGAGCTGTTACTAGCCACCTAACAAGCCCTTCATCGCTCTGTGGCTGAAGCTCCTCACTTACAAATAAAGAGAAATGATTTTCAAGTTTCCTTCTAGCTCTAAAGGATATCTAATAACTCCCCCTTTTCCAAACCAGAATTACAAGCAGAAGAAATTATATCCTAAAGTATTCAATATTTAAAATACAAATCTGCACATACTGAACAGTCTTAAAATACTTTCCTCAAGCAAATATAATCATAAATTAAATTAATGAAACTTCAATATTTAAAAACAAATATTTCAAAGATGAAAATCTTATGAACACATCTGATTATCCTATTCAATATTTCATGCACTCAACATGCTGAGCACCTATTATGTCAGGTATTATCATGTTTTGGTTTCTTTCTAGTATCACAAATAAAAGTTAAAGAGTATGGGAATCTTACCAACATGGCCTCCTCCAATGGTATATGTCTTCCCAGATCCAGTTTGACCGTAGGCAAAAACAGTTGCATTATAGCCCTCAATGAGTGACAACACTAGTGGCTTTATGCACATATTATAAACTTCATCTTGAGTGGAATTTTTGCCAAAAACAAAATCGAAAGTAAAGATTCTATCTCTCCCAATAATAATTTGCTGGGTGTTTGGAATAACTCTCACACAAACTTGATGATTATGAAGAACTTCTTTGCACAGCAGAGGTCTAATTCTTACAGCAACTTTTACTGGTATTTCTTCCATGGCGGCTTAGATTTTAATAAATAGATTTTCTACTGAATATTCAGTATCTAGTGCGAGAAACATCCATTTTATGTAAGATCTTAACTCCTGTATATCAAAATAAAAATAAAATTTAATTATTGACTCTTCTGTCCTAATAAACTAATTCAACTTCTAAAGCAAAGTCATTTAGGGCAAGTTCTGTTCCAATATAAGACAGTTACAAAAAAGTAAATCTGTATTGTAAAAGTACATCTATAATTTATAGATAAAATGTTTGGATTTGCTGCAAAATAATCTAGGGTACCATGACTTGGTAAATGAAGCTAAATGATAAGTACATGCGATTCCACTATGCCATTCTTTCTGTAATGGTAATGTTTCCCATCTCATTAATCTAAACACTGAATAACTGAGAAGTTGGAAAATTAAGACAAGGAAATAATTGGGTAATTGTATACATGTTAAAAACAAAAGTTTGTACTAGATTTTATAGCCATGCATTGAAAAAATAACATCTCTTTGCCACAAATATTAGAAATAAATCTATGAAACAGTTTTAAGGATTTCTATAAGTCAATATAAATTTAAAACTAAATTTTTTATTCAAAAATAATCAAAACAGAAAAACTGCCTTTCTGCTCTTAAATTATGTTGTCCTTATTTCTGAAGATCTCTGGTGGATTTAATACACTAAAAATAAATTGAGTATGCCAACTATAATTTAAAAATTTTTTAATTTAAAAAATTAAATTGGCAGCTACAATAATAAACATCTTGAAAAATAAATTAAGAAATTCCAGTTATAATAGCATACAAAATGCTAAAGAATAAATTTAATAAAATATGTATAAAACTTATATTTTAGAAACTACAAAATATTGTTGAAAGTAAAGATCTAAATAAATGAAAATCATCTCACGTTCATGGAGTGGAAGACTTAACATTATTAAGACGGCAATATTTCCAAATTGAGCTACAGATTCAACACAACTTCTATTAAAATCCCAGCTGACTTATTTGCAGAAATTGACGAGCTGATTCTAAAATTCATATGGAATTTTATGGGCACAGCCAAAACAATATTTATTGAAAAAGAACAAAGTTGGAAGACACACTTCCACAATTTTAAAACTAAGAAACAATAATCAAGACAGTGTGGTATTGGCATAAGACTTAAAGATCAATGAAAAAGAATTGAGAATCCAGAAATAAACCCTCAAATTTAAGGGCAATTGATTTTTAACAAGTGTGCCAGGACAATTCAATGGGGAAAAGTCTTATCAACAACTGATCCTGGGATAACTGGATATCCACATGGCATTGAACTCCTACCTCACATACACAAAAATTAATTCGAAATGGTTCATAGACCTAAATGTAACTACAAAATTCTTTAAAGAAAACATAGGGGTAACTCTCCCTAATCTTGGATTTGTAATAGTTTTTCAGATATGACACCGAAAGCAAAAGCAGTAAGCGGGAAAATTTTAAAAATGCACTTAATCAAATTTAAAAGTTTTGTGCCTCAAAGGACACCATCAAGGAAATGAAAAGACAATTATTGAATGTGAGAAAATATTTTCAAATCATGTATCTAATAAGGATTTGTATCTAGAATATATAAAGAACTATTCCAACTCAATAGCAAAAAGACAACCCAATTTTAAAACGGGCAAAGGCTCTGAAAAGATGGTTCTTCAAAGAAGATATAAAAATGGCCAAAAAGCACAGGTAAAGATCCTCAACATCATTAGCTATCAGGTAATTGCAATCAAAACCACAATGGGATACCATTTCACTCCCACTAACTCGGCTATAATCAAAAAGACAGATCTTAGTTAAGTGTTGGCAAGAATGTAGAGATCTTGGGAGGTGAATACACAATGCACTATATATATGCCTTACTGTTAAATTGTGCACCTGAAACTTACTGGATTTCGTTAACCAATGTCACTATAAAAAATTTTTTAAAAAAAGAATGTAGAGATCTTATACACTTTTGATAGGAATGTAAAATGATGCAGTTGCTTTGTAAAATGGTCTGACAGTTCTTCAAAAAGTTAAAAAGAGTTATCATTTGACCCAGCAACTCCACTTCTAGGTATATACCCAACAGAAAAGAAAACATGTTTGCACAAAAACTTGTACACAAATGTTCCTAGTCTTGGTAGGATAAAGCTTACACCATATAAGAGATTTTTAATATGTAACAAGTAATCAATGATAATATTTAAGTGCAGATGATGAAAAATAATCAGTTTGGGGTGGGGCTGGGCTCTCTGGAGAAGGCCAGTCTTGAACACTATCATTAAGTAACCTAGCTAACTAATGAACTCAAGTGACATTTTCAGCACTACTTGCTATGTAAATGTTAATTAAGATATATTTAATATTCACTAGCCTTTAAAAAACTCTGCATTAGTACTGTGCATTTATAATTTTGTGAGTGGATAGTCTGAAAAGGATCACAAAAACAAAAAAACATTTACATCACTCTATTGAGAACCCACTGAGAGTAAAAAAAAAAAAATACAGTTCCCTTGGGCTGTAAAATCCCAAAACAGAGTCAACAAACTATCTTTAACGGCCAAAGAGATGCATCTAATCTTGGCAGTTTTAATCATTCTAATGAAATTCAGCACTGAAAAAATAAATACTCATATGTATGATAAATCTTTTCTTGGATCCTAAAGGGCTCTACCATCATTTGGTACTGGAAACTTTCCCAAAGAAACTGCAGGGATGCTGTATGAGTTGGTTCTTCCAAATGTCTCTAAACACCTACACTTGAAGTTTTGATCACACAGATTATTCTTTTTATGCCATCACTTTAAAACAAGTCATGGCCTATGTTAAGCCAACCCTAAATACTTCCAACAGAATTGCTAATAAAAGGTGCTAAACGTAATTGGGATATTTTCATTTTCTCAGTTTTTATAATAGGAGTATCTACAAACAATTTGGCTACAAAGGCAATCGAAATTCACCTATCCTAATCATTGAAAAATGATAAGGGCCCATAAATATATGGCTTTCAAATAACTTACAAGAATTTGTTTTTTTAAAAATGCAAAGCACATGCTTCTTCAGATTCTGATCAATTACAGTCATAAGAAGCATATGTATTATGCCATCATTAAACTTAAAGAAAGGTGAGATGTGACTAGCTGGTAATATTTAGGCATACTCAACAAAATTTTGAAATCTTAACAAAGGTAAGAGAAATATTTGATTACTGTTGCCATGTCATTAATCAGAAATAAGTCTTTCCCAATACCGTTGCCATCCTGTACCCTTGGTTTTCCGGAAGTTGCAGTTATCTAAAAATTGTGGCTCGCTAATATTTTCATATGAAATTTCCCAGTAAATGGATAGTAAATCGCACAGGGATCTCAGACAAGGCTCCAAATACATAAAGAACTAAATGGAGAAGATACGAAGAGGAAAAAACACCAAAGATTTAAAAACTTGAAGGGGTCGGTAAGTGTTATTTGAAAGGTGTTTTAAAGAAAGAATTTGGGCACTCATTCTTTATCAATTATCGACTGCCTCTAAGGGAGGGGGTTACCGGACTTCTACCGCGCTTAGAATACACCCAAGTTTCAACATCCGCAATGGAAAAAAGGCGGCCTGCGTCAAAACGAAACCCCCAAAGAGAGTGGGCCTTCCCATTCCACTCCAGATCCCGCAGTTGGAAGTACGAACACGAGAAATACACAGCATCCGACTCAATAGAGCTCTAATCCGCATTTACACGTGTCCCTATTCCCCCGGCCCTTCTCGCGCAAGAGGCACCCAACTTGCCCCGACCGCTGGGCGGGGGTACCAGCGCCCGTCCGGCGCCCCCGTCAGCTTCGCCGGAGCCCCAACCCCCCTCCCAAGCCCATCCCGCGGCGGAGCTACCCTCTCCCGCCGGCGACCCCTACTCCCAACGGCTGGCCGGGGGCGCAGCAAACCAGAGAGCGGCTGGGCGCTGCCCCGCACCCGGCCCCGCCCTCCGTCCCTCCGCGCACTGACCCGCTAAAGAAAAACCCAGTCTCCGGCGGCGGGCGCAGCGCAGGACTCCTCCGCTAAACTCCGCCACGCCGCCGCCGCCGCTGCAGTCCGCGCCTTTTGTTGTCACGGGTTCTCCCGGCAACCGGCAAAGCCCTGCGCCAACGCGCCGGCTCCCGCCTGGGAGTCCGACCGCCCAAGCCCCGCCCCTTGGCGTTAAGCCCCGCCCCATACCCGCCGTGACCAGTCAAATCCCGCCCCGCCGCCTGGAAGCTTAGCGCCTGACACCCTGGAGGCCGGGCTCCCAGAGTCACTAATGAGCCAACACCCGGGAACTCCTCTCAGAGTACTGAGCCGAAGGATCTCTCTAGAGGTTTGTAAATGAATATGAGAAAGAGTCACATTGCGTTTGAATATTTTAGCTACCAATTCAGTTCGTTTTTATTGACGCAAAGTTCACATAACGTAAAATGAACCTTTTTAAAGTGTACAATTCAGTAGTATTTTAGACATTCACAAGATTGTGTGACCATCACCTCTGATTCTAACATTTTCAGCACCCTAGAAGGAAATCCCTTTACCAGTTAGCAGTCACTCTTATTCTCGCCTCCCACCCCTGTCAACCAACAATCAGCTTTCTGTCACTATGGACGTACCAGTTCTTGGTATTTTGTGTTCATGGAATCATACAATTTGTGGCCTTTTATCTGGCTTCTTTTGCTGAACAATGTTTTCCAGGTTCATTCATGTATCATGTATTAGTACTTTCTATTCTTTTTTTATGATATTCCATTGTATGGATATACATTTTATTTTTCCATTCATCATTTAATGGACATGTGGCTTGTCTCCACTATGCTGCTAATACAAATAATGCAGTTAGGAACATTCATGTACAAGTATTTATTTTTTTATGTTTTCAATATATTAAAAATAACAATGCTTTAGTTAATATTAAAAATATAAAATTTATGTATCTTGAAGCATAAAAGTTTTGTTAAACAAGATTTAAAATTTTTAAATCCAAATAATTTAAAACTTGAATAACAGTAACAATTTAGGTTTGACAATTCCCAGGAAGCCTCAGCAGCAGGTCTCAGGAGGCCACACGTTTGCAGAGGACATCAACAAATGCCCAGCAGGACTGGCATGGGACATTTTCTGTTGTCCCCAAATTGGCATCTTGAATCCAAAGTTTAAAGGAAGAGGTCACTAAGTTCTTTACCAGTCATTGGACACCAGTCATTGTCCCCCACTCCCCCATCCCCACTCTGACCCCATACACAGGATTTACAGCAGATCAAAACTAATTCCACTGCAACTCCAACTCTATCTCTTTTTTGAAAGCTTCGTAAGAGGTACTTGGGGTGCTAAGGGAGAGAGTTGTGGGGTCTTGAGCATTGTGGCATGGGGAATAGAGGGTTCACAAGTAAGACGTTTCCCTCCTAAGTCAAAGGAGGCTCTGTGAGTGATCTGTAGAGCCTGAGAGAGGAAACTGGCCTTCTAGTTGGACATGGGAGAGGAATAGGAGGGTCTGCTTCTCTACCTCGCTAGACAAAAGTGAAGCAATTGAACGGTAGCACAGAGAGAACCCTGAAGTGGAGCAGCCCACACTCCCACCATCTGGTAGGGCAAGAACCTGTGACTTTCCCATGTTTCCAATCTTGCCCTAAAAATCTAGCCTCCACAACTTCTGTAGTGATTTATTAAGACACAAGTCTGACCTAAAATCTGTCCTTTGCCTGTAGCCTTTCTATAACATCATGAAGAATATAAATTCTTAGCTGGAATGAGAAATCCATGTAGGGAGAAACACAGTTTTGCTGAGAAGATGCTTTCTAGTCCATGCCTAGGTAAAAGCTAAGCTTCCTGGGTTTGATTTAATTGGTACCCAGGCTTCAGAGAAGATGGTGTTGCTCATATGAGACCAGGAGAAGAATTACGTGACTGCTCTTGAGAAAGGATGAGGAAGATGGAGGAAGGGAAGGGTGTTGGGGAGAGGCTGAATCAGAGAGGAAGGAGAGGATAGCTGATAAGGTAGTTCCAGGAAGAACAGAAATCGCTAATGGGGATCTCTAGACGGTATGCTGTGAGGTAGCAATTAAACCCCTCCCCCCCATCCCCTGCAAAATCTTCAGTGAAGTCTATGTAGCTAACCAAAGATTTGTGATAGAGGATTGTTTACAGGAACTTAAAGATATACTAGTCCTGAGGCCAGTCTCATGATGAATAAAACCAGAGATTGACCCTGTGGACACAGAAGGCAGTGGATTAGAAGAAAGCTGAAGTCTGGCTGGCATGTTAATGACATTTTACTTCACTAATAAACCAAACAATGCAAATTAGAATGATAAACCATTTTCATCTATAAAATTGGCAACAACCTTTCATAATGTAATACCAGCACCATTTAGTGAGACACTTTTATACATAATCTCACTTTTTGTCATCTCTCCTAAGAAAAATAGATATGGATAAAAAATCATGTACAACCATGTTCATTATGGTATTATTTATAATAGCAAAAACTTGGAAATTACATATATGTTCAATGAAAGGGATTTATAAAGTAACAGTCATAACTTTATAAAAGAGGATATTATGTACTCATTGAAACTCAACGTTTGCAAGAAATTAGTATAGGAAAACACAAATTAAGGATATAAATAGTGTCGAGTTTTCTCACCTGAAGAACTGGAATAAAAATCATCCCTTCTTTAGAGGGTTGATGTCTGAAAAGAGGATATTATTGTAAATCACATAGAACAGTAAGTACTCAAAAGTTATTAGGTAGCTAGAATGATGATGATAATTTCCTCAATTTTGTTCAGGGGAGAGATACACATAAAAAACATAGGATAGTCAAAATATTCAACGAAATTCACCAAAATGATAACCATTAACAACACTGACATAAAGGTCATTTTTATAGTTGAATCAATTAGGGTCTTGGTTCCAAGGAACAGAAACGTACTCTAGATCACTAAAGAAAAAAATAAGACTTTGTTGAAAAGTTTATCATTACAGTGCTTTATGTTACAAGTAATAGAAACCCCAAGTGTGATTATCTTAAATAAGAAAATACATTTCAGTTCATATAACTTGAAATAAAATGTGAAAAAGGTATGTCTTAGAATCAATGAAATAGGACATACTCCTATACATTCATGAGTTTATAAAAAGAGAGCCCATATTCTGTTGCCTCAATCAATTTATTACTGTACCAATGTCATACTGCTTAAACTACTATAGCTTTGTGGTATATTTTGCTATGTAATTGGGTAAGACATTCCTTATCCTTCTAAGTTTCTGGGCTATTCTTAGCATTTATCTTCCTAAATAACTTTTAAATCAGTTTGACAATTAACAGAAAGAAGTTTCATTGAGATTTCTATTGGAATTGCATTTAATTTTTTCTTTTTTTGTAAATATAAAGGACAACTTTTAAAAAGAACTTCAATGGCTCCTTAAGATCAGATCTAATCTTGACATGGCATACAACATCTTCCATAATTTACTTTTTCCCTATCTTTCCAGACTCATCCCTGCTATTTCTTGCCTCACATTTTATTCTCCAGTATCAGCAGAGACCATACATTATTTATTTTTATGTCCCCATTGTTGAGCATAGTCAATGTTTAATACAGTGAATATTACGTTTATTGCAGAGGTTCAATAAATGTTTATGGAAATAAAAAATAAAAAACATGAAACAAGTAATTTGCTAAAGGTTACATGATTGGTAAGTGGCAGAAGCAATCTAAAGTCATTGTGTGTCAGATGACAAAGTCAACACTACCTCCCCAAAGACCGAGCTGAACTATAGATTTCTATATAATGCCTCCCTTTCTTTCTCCCCACTTTGTCTGTCTGTCTGTCTGTCTCTCTCTCTCTCTCTCTCTCTCTCTCTCACACACACACACACACACACACACACACACACATACACACACACACTCACAGTTTGCTCAAATCAGGATCCTAACATGGTCCACATGTAGCATTTGGTTGATATGTCCCTTAATTCTCTTTCAGTGTTACCCTCTACCTTTTTTTTTAATTGTGGTAAAATACACATAACATAAAATTTAGCATCTTCATTATTTAATTACACAGTTCAGTAATGTTAAGTACATTCATACTGTTGTGCAACCAATCTCCAGAACTCTTTTTATCTTGCAAAACTGAAACTCTATACCCATTAAACGATTCCTCGTTTACCCCTTCCCCAGCCCCTAGCAACCACCATTCCACTTCTGTCTCTATGAAAGTGACTACTCTAGGTCCCTCATATAAGTGGAATCATATATTATTTGTCCTTTTCTGGCTGGCTTGTCTCACTTAGCACAATGTCTTCAAGGTTCATCCATGTCGAAGGATGTGTCAGAACTTCCTTCCTTTTTAAGGCTGATTAATATTCCATTGTATGTATAGACCATATTTTGTTTATCCATTCATCTCCTATTGGACACTTGTGTTGCTTCCAACTTTTGGCTATTGTGAATAATGCTGCTATGAACAAAGATATACAAGTATCTCTTCAAGATCCCGCTTTCAATTATCTTGAGTACATACACAAAAGTGGAATTGATGGATTGTATGGTAATCCTATTTTTAATTGTTTGAGGAGCTGCAATACTGTTTTCCATAGAGGCTGCACCATTTTACATTCCCACCAATAGTGCACAGGGTTACAATGTCTCTACATCCTCACCAATCCCTACCTTTTTCCCCTACCATTTATTTGATGAAGAACTAGACCATTTGTCCTTTAGAATGTCTCACATTCTAGATTTGGCGATTACATGTTTCTGTTGCCACTTAACTTGTTCCTCTTTTTCTTACATTTCCTGTAAACTAGTAGTTAGATCTAGATTCTTGATTAGATTCAAGTTCAATTTTTCTGGCAAGAATACTTCATAGACAGTACTGTGTAGTTGCTATTGCACCACACCAGGAGGCATATAATGTTGGCATAACCTACTTTTGGTGATATTAAGATTATTAGTGAATTCAGGTGCTTTCAGCCTAATCCACCCATTCAAAAAGTTCCTAATGGTTTTAACAGCCATTGATGATTAGTTTCCAATCGATTATTTCATTAGAGATTCCAAATGGTAATGTTTTAATTCTAATATTCCTTTTTGCATTTATTTCCTGTAATTGTTCTATAAAGAAGAGCTTTCTCTGTAGGAGATTATCTTGAAATACAATTAGTACAGCAATGGCAGAATACATGCTAGATTTTTTCCCTTTTATTTATCAATTTTGAGAATAATGAATTGGTCTCTACCAAACTCCAAAATTGACCAATAGGGTTTTATTTTTGGAATTGGGGGCATATGTGATTATGAAATCATAGATTTTTATATTTTTAACTTGTTTTCCAAATACCATTTCCACTCCTCAAAGTAAGTATTTCTAGACTTTTTATTAAACACCATTGTGACCTATTGTTTCTTTTCATTTTAACTCAGGCTTCATCAAAGTTGTTGAGCCTTAAAAACTGAATTCCATTCTTGCAACCAAAGAATACTGATTAATTCATATGCCAGCCAACCCTTAGTTTATCTTGAGAATGTTGAAAGAGAAATGGTGAAGGAAGGGAGAGAACTATTAAGTTTTTCCCACCTCCAAACAAAAAAATTGGATTAGTTTTCCTTGGACCAACTTAGAATGTAGCCTTACCTTTTTCGAGCTCTTCTTCAGTAGTTCCCAACTTGGAATTATCCCCACCTACTGAAGAATCTGAATATAAAAAGGTATAGAATACAAGGTTGTATTGTCTGCCTACCACCCGTTTTCCTTTCTATCAGCAAACCTCTATTTCTCGAAGAACTCCCTCTGCTCTACTTGGTCCAGCCAAACATTTATCCCTTGCCCCAGGCCACAGCAGGGGCAGGGACAGCTGTGGGGGAAGGGCACAGGAAACCTGGGACTCAAGTAGCCAGGCTCATCAGCAAAGCCCCAGATTTTTGCTTGGGCTATTGGCAAAGATTTGCACTCTGTTGCCTGAAATTACTAGCTATTAGAACTATCTCTTCAAACAGAGCAACACCCCCCCCCCCCAAAAAAAAAGATATAGTGTTTGTATGCTTTAATCTTTGGACCATAACTGGGCTAAGACCAGTTCTTTCCTTGGACTTATCTTTCTTTTTATCATTATGTTTCCTTTTTTATTAAGCTAGTTTTGGTCAGATTTTTTTTTTCCACTTAAAACTAAATAGGATTGCATTTAAATAACCCAAAGGAAGATATCAAAACAGAAAGGGAAAGAAGGAATGTAATGTATGAGAAAAAGAGAAACTTAGATGAATGCCACAATAATATTAGTCAGTGAATTTCGTACTTGAAAGAAATCTTACAAGTTTAGTCCCACCATACATTTATTAATTTTTTATTTTATATTCAATATCCCCGAGTTAGACAAAAGTTATTTTGCCACATTTTTATTCATACCTGTGTTAGGGTTCTCCAGAGAAATAGAACCAATAGAATATATAGAGAGATGGAGATAGATATAGATCTACCTATAGACCTATAATATCTATCCATCCATCTAGAAAGAGGGAGATTTATTTTAAGGCATTGACTCACGTGATTGTGGGAGCTAGCAAGTCTAAAATCTGTAGTAGGCTAGCAAACTGGAAATTAGATGAGTTGACATTTTAGTCTTGAGTCTAAAACCTATAGCCCAGCAGTAGGAAACTCAGGCAGGGTTTATGTTTCATCCTTGAGGCAGAGTCGTTTCTTCTTCTGGAAACTTCTATCTTTGCTCTTTAAGGCTTTCAACTGATTAGGTGAGCACCCCCCACCCCACCCCATTGTGGAATATAACTGCTTTACTCAAGTCTATTGATTGTAAATGTTAATCACATCTAAAAAAATATCTTCACAGCAACATCTGGATTGGTGTTTGATCAAACAACTGGGCATCATAGTCTAGCCAAGCTGACATAAAATTAACCATTCCAATCTCATCCTATGTCATCCTATGATATGTGTCATGCATACATTCTATAAAATGGCACAAAAAGAAAACTGGAACTAGAACTAGAAAATCCGAATCAGATTATCCCATTTCATGTGTAAATTAAACAGGCATAGAGATCTTAACTGTTTTGTTCAAAAGTTAATAACAGAACCAAGGCAGTGAGCACACAGTGATTCCCTTTAGGGGAGCCAAGACCCTTGGATCTTGACTCTGGACATTTTACACTGTGGAGAACTCACAGTTACAACTCTGGACATCCTTACTTTGAGAGTTATTACCTCCCATGGCTTGGGAGTGAATAAAATGAATGAATAAATAAAAATGTTACCTAGCCGTGGCAGCTTATTTTGTTCCCAACCAATACACAAGCACAAGCACCAGAAAGAGTTGATGGTGACTATGCTGAACTTTACCTGTGCTTCGCATTTTCAGAAAACAGTGACATTAAGAAATCTCCCACCCTTTTATGTTCTGGGATAAATGGTTTATCCCGAAGGACCACACTTCTCTATGTGACTTAAGTAAGACTTGATTTCTCATGCCTCCCTTGTTTATCTGTGACAAGCCCAAACATACATCTTTCTCCTTTTGCCTAAATCTGATGACAAGGCTAGACACAGACTCTCCCATTCCTCATTCTTTGTCTCGTGAATGATTACCTGAGATTAGAACTGTTAGTCTGCCTGAAACTAGCTAGACACAAAGATAAACACTTCCTGTTCAGAGAACTGACTGAGACTTCTGCTGATTAAAAACAACCCCACCTGTAAATCCTGTACCTATAACTATAAAAGGACTAGGACACCACCATCCTGCCAAGTGATTCTAACTTTGGATCTAGGGTGCTCTTCATATTGCAATAGGCTGAATAAGATCAATGTCCTTACTTGTTCAGTTTGTATCACTAATACTATTATTGATATTGATTATTGATCACTAATGGCTATTAAAACCATTAGGTGATCAATAAAACCATAATATTTAAATTCTTTGTCTGCATCAGGTATGAAAATTACAAAATCCATGCTTGGTGGTAAAAACTTATTTTCTTGTATCTGACTATACTCCTTACATAGTTTAGCTGGTATCCAATGCCCAAAATAGAGACTATTTTCCTGGCCTCCATGGCAGTTAGCTATGGTCATATGACTAAATTCTAGTCAGTGAAATGAAAGCAAAAATGCATGTGGTAGCTGCTAGAGCCTTCCTGTCAACCCTTGCACTCAACTTCATTGCTTCTTCAATCCTGCTGCCTAGATTAGAACGCAGACATCTTGGATCATGAGTCCAGGCTGTACTTAGTGGCACGAGAGAAAAGACAGCTGGGTCTTGAACAACAAAGAGCACCATACACCCTTGCACTGTCTTCTCTGTCTTTTTTATAATAGAGAAGTAAACTGTGGGGAAAGCAGAAAGCCCAGAGCTGGCTGAGCCTGGAAGAGGAAGAAGGGAGAGAAGGAAAGAGAAAAGTGGGAGAACAAAGGGAAGGGCAAAGGGAAAAAAGAGGAAGGGAGAGAAAAGGTACAGGGTAAGCAGGAGAGGGAGAGGGGCATGAAGGGCGGCGGGGGGAGTGGTGCAGGTAGAATCCGAGAGGCTGGAGGGCTCCAGGGCCTGGGAGACCTTTTTGCTTCAGCTTCCTAGAGCCTCATGAGAGCGCGTTAAATTGGAAACTTAGTTATGATACTTTCTACTACAAATTATAGAAAACTAATTCAAAACGATGGAAATAATAATATGTTTACAAATCTCAGGAATGAAGTCCATAGCTGAGATGGGGCTCTGGTTCCACACAATGGCTACTGCAGCTTCAGGTATCACATTTAGACAGAATGTAGCTCAGAGAAAGAAGAGGGCCTTTCTGTTTTTAAAGTGAAGGAATCTTTTCCTGGAAGCCTCCCTGAAGACTTTCCCTCCAGTTTCATTGTCCAGAACTGGATTATAAACCCATTACTATAGTCACAAGCAGAGAATAGGATTAACATGAATAATAAGCCATTCATAGTAATACGGGTCTACATATGACTTTGGGGATGGGTTCACTTTCCCCTGAGTCACACAGGGGAGGGATAGATACAGGCCCACTACTTATGGTGGTGCAAGCTATGTGGTGCATAACTCAAGGTGGGACCAATTCACATTCACAGTCAATGTCATTTGTAAGGTTATTATGACCTTATACATTTCCAGCAGATGGCAGCAAAGTGCTTGGAGAAAGGACACTTTTTTCTGATTCGCACAAAGTCACAGCAAGCTGACAAGGGATATAACTAACAAAAACCAAGATTATGAAAGGAAGGTGGGGGTGAAAGTGGGAAATGAGTGTGTGGTAGGTAATGAGCGTTCTGCAACATAAAGTAAATAATCAAATTCACTGTAAACCTTTTAAAATTATATCTGGAATATCCTATTTTAATAAAATAATCCATTCCAGGTTTTAGAAAATTTTTTAAAATCTTTATTCAATTCTAATATATTTACTCTGTTAAAAAATATTAAACAGATAGATATACTAAACTGAAAATCATTATGTACAAAACCCACTGTCATTATCAATAAAAAGCTTAAGCTGTCAAAATTTTTTACAAGAGCAGCAGCATTTATACAGCAAAGACCCCATCCAACCCCCCTCTCAAAGCAAATGATTAAGACATATAGAAAATTACACCTTGAGAAAAGATACCAACTGAACAGATGAAATATTATCACTGAAGATTAATCACATTATAAGGCATGATTAATTTTTAGAAATCTGAAATGTAAAGAAAGCATTAAAGTTCTTTCATTTTTCATCATATGTCAACAAAAAGGGAAAATATAGTCAAAACCAAATGAGCAGAAAAAAGGTAAAGTTGAGAATACAGAGTGATATGTTGGAAAAAATTTTTAAGTGAGACTGGGTAATCAGTGTTCTTATTGCTATAACTTCTATCACCTTCTCTTAATATCAAAGTGAAATCGTACAAATGATTACGTGATATAAAAATGCAAGGAGTTTTCTTCGGATCAGTTAACTCTTTGGATCAATAATATATGCAACGCGTTCGATGAAATGGAATTCCTTTCATATCTTCCCTGTGATCACGGGCATAGTCCCATAAGTAATAATCCAGAAGAATGGAATTGATCTCTCCACTATTTTTTTCACCCTTTTTTTCAATAAGCTCCAGAAGATAATCTCGGATCAGTTCAACACACCAAAGTGAACACCCTCTGATTTCCACCTCTTGCCTATTCCCATACGACAGCATTTCTCCTGCAAGGGAAAAAAAAACAGAGCAAGAAGCACTAATAATCAATGATGTAAAATCAATTCAGAACTGTAGAACAAAACACAGTATTTAAACAGTACTTATTTTAAAACTGTAAACCTCAGACTTTATTTTGCGTAATTTAAACAATTTCTAAACTCAAGCATTAATTCAAAATTGCAAGTTCCACAAGGTAGGGGACCGTGTCTGGCCTATCTCAACATGCTAGCTCTCCAGCAAACATTTGCTAAATGAATATGGGGTAACCATACATTTAAAAATACAACAGCTCTTTCGTGGCACCTCAGAGGCTCAGCTACCTCAGGATGAAGGCTGAACATCTCTTTCCCAGCCACTGGCTGCCAGAAGCTCACTGAAGTGGACAATAAATGCAAACTTCGTACCTTTTATGAGAAACATATGGCCACAGAAGTTGCTGCTGACACTCTGGGTGAAGAATGGAAGGGCCATGTGGTTCGAATCAGTAGTGGGAATGACAAACAAGGTTTCCCCATGAAGCACAGTATCTTGACCAATGGCCATTTCTAGCTGCTACTGAGTAAGGGGTATTCCTGTTATAGATCAAGGAGGACTTAAGAAAGAAAGTGCAAATCTGTTCGAGGTTGCATTGTGGATGCCAATCTGAGTGTTCTCAACTTGGTCACTATCAAAAAAGGGGAGAATGATATTCCTAGTCTCACTGATACTCCTGAGCTAGCAGAATCAGCAAACTTTTCAATCTCTCTAAAGAAGGTGATGTCTGTCAATATGTTGTGAGAAAGCCCCTAAACAAAGAAGGTAAGAAACTTGGGACAAAGCACGCAAGATTCAGTGTCTTGTTACTCTATACATCCTGCAACACAAATGTAAGCGTATTGCTCTGAAGAAACAGCGTACTAAGAAAAATAAGAAAGAGGCTAAAGAATAGGCTAAACTTTTGGCCATGAGAATGAAAGAAACCAAAGAAAAACACCAGGAACAGACTGCCAAGAAACAGAGTTTTCTCCCTGAGAGCTTCTACCTCCAAGTCTGAGTTCAGTCAAAAATGAGGTTTTGTAAGACTAACAAATAAATAAGATCAAATATCAAAAAAAAAAATTGAAATGAAAATAAAAATATGACAGCAAGATTACTACATTATTGAAAAGAAAGGATTTAATATTGGGTTTAATGCCAGGAAAAAAATATTATTACAAAATTTGGAAGACTGATAGGGGGCCAAATAAACAGTACCTTCCTTCCCCACTTGAGAATTGAACACTGACTTGGGGACACCCTAAGCGCATCAAGGAGAACCTAAGAAATCAAAGTTGTTAACTTGAGAAAAGAAAACCATAATCATCCTTTGGATTCAGGATCGTTAAGTCAGCTCTGCCTGAATATGAAGCTGAACATTCCTACAGGACCCGTAGTCTATTCAGTGCCATCTTCTGGGCACATCTGATCCTGTGAGATGAACATTGGCTGTGCTTTGCCACTGAGACTGGAGTTGGGCTCATCAATTCATAGCAGTCAGGCAGATAAGAGTAAGTAAATGCAGCAGCCACATGCAAACTGGTGTGGTGAGCTAGAGAGTGTGCTGCCCTGTCTAAAGGTAGGCTCAATGTTCCCATATTTCTCTATTTTTACAAGAGTTAGAAAGTTTGATTGTCATGTAAAATCTCCTAATTGTCAAGTGTTAATAACTAATTTAAAATTGCTTAAAACATACCTGGAGACAAATGAAAATGAAAACACAATGACTCAAAATTTATGGGACACAGCAAAAGAAGTACTAAGAAGGAAATTCCTAGCAATACAGGCCTACCTCAAGAAAAAAGAAAAAGCTCAAATAAACAATCTAACCTTACAATTAAAAGAACTAGAAAAAGAACAGCAAACAAAGCTCAAAGTGAATAGAAGGAAGGAAATAATAAAGATCAGAGCAGAAATAAATGAAATAGAGTCTAGAAAAACAATACAAAAGATTAATGAAACCAAGAGCTGGTTCTGT